ACTTGGGGGAGGACCAGCTGCGGGCAGGACAAACGTGACTGGAATACATTATTGATGTTTTGCACATTCATCAGTTTCTCTTCTGTCCAGCTGGGAATGCAGAACTAAGAAAAATACAAAACAACCCAAAAAAATAAAAACAAAGACTTCTATCACTATCAAGAAAACACAAAGAGCCCAAAAAGTCCAACTACAGTCCAAATTGTATATAAAACCTCGCAACTGGATTGAGCAGGGCTTTCATGGTGCCTGTAGATGACAACACTCAGTGACTGCACTGTATCTGCGAAGGAGTTAGGTTGTCTGCCTAGTGTATGTTAGGACTACAGAACACCTCCCCCAGTGGCATCACAAGGGGGGGGTGGCCCGCACCCAGGTGCAACCATTGGAGGGGTGACACCAAAATGACTGTCAGTCATTTTGGTATCACCCCCTATGAAAAGTCGGGCACTCGGTCATGGACAGTGTCAGGAGAGAGGAGGGGACCCGGCAGCATACTCATTGCGCCAGGTGAACGTCCCCTGCTGATGTCTCTCTGCCGGCATCCAACACCAAGATGGCCGCCGGCAGGCGTCAATAAGATGACCGCGCATGCACAATGACGTCACGGCTGGGTGTCATCCCTTCTCCGCTCCGGGTGACACCCGGCCTCAGGACGCCCCTGCCTCCCTCTATTGTCATCTCTATAATATAGGGGGATGTGTTCTGTAGTCCACATAGATAGCTGGAGGAGAATACTTACTGATAACAGCACAGGAAGGAATTATAATCTCACAAGATTTCCGGCGGGATCAACGGGTATTATTTTTGGAAGCTGCTCCTTGGTGTTTAGAAGAGTTATCTTCCTGCAGAATCAGCTGGTCCCCTGAGCACTGGCCCTGATATCCAGTTTTAGGGTGACTCCTTTCCCTTACTGGGCCCTATAGAGCCACCCTTGTGTGTGCTGGTAAGCTGTGTCTGTCTCCAGGCACAGCACGGCAATTGACTCTCCTGCTCCTGCTCCATCCCTTCTTCCTTCTCCAAGCTAGTAGATGGACCGCTGCAGGAGACTGCTCTGTCCCTTGTGAAATTGTACTGGACAGGAAGTTCAGGGAAGCTGAGCAGAGAGAGTTGGAGCTGTTCAGAAATAAATACTTTCCCGAGCAATGTGTATTTCTTTGATTTGGATGCATTATGGAAAAAAAATTGAGTGTTTAATACTACTTCAAGGTTCCCTGCTAATTCTTTTATACATGCAGTCCCTGAGTTACATACATCCGACTAACATCCGACTCCTACTTACAAACGGAGGCTATTACTGTACAGCAGGGGTAGCAGGGTTGTAATGCTACCGCGCTCGTGCCGACGAGGAGTGCCCTCCTTTTTGGGTCTGGTTCGTAGTACTGTACGTACATTACAGGAAGTTGCTAGACATGCAGACAAGGGGTGCCCGCCTCTTCTTCCGGGTCACTGTGAGGTTTTTACTGCTGTCTGTATCCTCATTAGAGAGATTTAATCTTGAGACAACAGGAAGTGACAGGAAGTGAGAGGAAATCTACCCCTAGGAAGGGAAATTCACTCCTGTAAGAGTGATCACGGGAAAAAGGTGTCTACACTGAAGCTTCATCACCAATCCTTGTTTCCACGACAACCCAACATTTTCAAAATCCAATTGTCACAGGGACAGAAAGTGAGGTGAAATCTTCTGAACAGGGGCACACAGAGAAAACAAACTTTACAGGGGGGTCAATCTTTCCCTATGCTATACAAAACAAATAAGATTTGGGCTGGAGTTACACTTTAAAAATGTACCTGTTCCAACTTGCATACAAATTCAACTTAAGTTCAGTACTCACTCGAGCCTTTGGGGTAGGCGGCGATATGGAAGGCATACAGGTACGACAGCAGCAGACTGGTCCACAGTAACAAGGTCATGGTCCTATCCATCCTTCCGGTCCCGGGATCTGTGTTTAGGATCAGGGTGCCCACCGAGCCATGCCTCTCGATGCGCCGGCCTCTCGACTTTTCAAACTTTCCACCGTCCGGGCTGCGGCATGCTCACGGAACGCTTCCACCGGGGGTCTTCCAGGCTACGTCACCCCGAAAACACTCAGCTGCCTTAACTCCTTGTGGGTTTCTGCTGTGGGGAATCCCAAACGAGAGGCAGCTGGGTTATACGAGTCTGCGCACACAGCAGCAGGTTGGGAGAGGAGAGACGCAGACGACCCAGGGAAGCCGCAGACAGGGGTGGCGGAGGTGGGGAGGACTCATGCAGGTACTGACGGAGAACACAACGCACACACTTGTCTTAGGCAGAGAGGATGTCTCCATAATAATAGCAGTCAACCCCCATCCTGACCTGGCAAGAAGTCTGGAAAATCGCTCTCTGTCCAATACATGTGTTTGCAATAACATACATTCTTCATCAGTGACGCCACCGCACACACACACAAAAACTAATTAAATATTAACTAATTTATGGTGTGCGCGGCGGTGACACGGCAAGGGAAACACTCATCTTTTTTGGGGGGTTTTTAATTGTGATTGTGAATGCCGCTGACTTAAATGTGGAGCTTTCAGTAACATTGCAAGTCTGTGTGAATACATTCCTGGCATGTCACAAAATACAGCGACGGCGTGATTTTTCAGAAAAGCTTCACCTTTTATCACTAAAAAGACATCCTAGAGCTACAGTCTGGTGCCTAGGCTCAGATGATGTCATCGGTCTGCTGCAGGCAGGAGGAGGCATTTCCTCAGTTTCAGGATAACATAGACACCGGCACTCCAAGTAATGAATCAATGGCTTCTGTTTATTGACGCATGAAGCACAGCACAATGCATCAAAAAGCAACGTTTCGGGGTCTCACAGGATCCCCTTCATCAGGCACTCCAGGACTTCTCTAGAGTCTCTCCCATCCTCTGGAACTCTTTACCCCAACCTGTCTGTCTATCTCCCACCTTGACTGTCTTTAGGCGTTCCCTAAAGACTCATCTCTTCAGGGAAGCCTATCCCACCTCGACCTAACCACTGAACCATCATGTTCTCAAATAATTCATCCCCACACAGTTCCCTCCTCATGTATCATTTCCCCCTCCTCTTTTAGATTGTAAGCCCTCAGGGGCAGGGCCCTCCTTACCATCTTGTCTTGAATTGTATTGTAATTGTAATGTCTTCCTTGTAAAGCGCTGCGCAAACTGTTGGCGCCATATAAATCCTATGTAGTAATAATAATAATATGTTATCCTGTGATTATAGACGGTTGCCATCCGTCGACTGTCGCAGCACCCGTCTTTTATAAGGAGTGTGATGGGTTCATGGACTATTTCCTGTGTTTCCTCCCCACTTTGCCTAGGCTGATATGATGTCATCAGTCTGCTGCAGGCAGGAGGAAGCATTTCCTTAGTCTATTCTCCACTTTGCCTAAGCTCAGATGATGTAATCAGTCTGTTGTAGGCAGGAGGAAGCATTTCCTTAGAGTACTCTCCCTATTGCCTAGGCTCAGATGATGTAATCAGTCTGTTGCAGGCAGGAGGAAGCATTTCCTTAGGCTCCGCCCCCCTTTGCCTCCTTCTTTAAAGTACATCTGTGGGTTGTTTTGCTCTTGTCTGCTGATCCCATTCACTGTCTATAGAAAAATGAAGAACGGGCCATATAATGACTATTCAAACTCTGCCCACAGTAAGGGCGATGTTGGGTTTTGAGCTCCTGGAACACTCTGGAGAGAAGTTGATTTTGCATGCAAGAGGTGCCAACTATCTGGGACCAGCATCCAGTCTGATACAGCGACAAGTGTGCATTAAACAAACTTACAGAATAACACAAGCCGAGGGCGACCTTCAGCAGTGTGACAATACTCATTCATAGATGAAAGTAGTCACTCGCACGCCATGATATTAAAGGAGAACTACGGGGTTAAGGCTTTTCCCCATAGTTCTCCTTAGGGTAACGGGAGGACACAAACTAGCGTCCTCCCGTCACCCTAAGCTCAGTATACCGCGAGCTGTAGCTGCTGTACGCGGTATACTAAGACGCCGCAGCTGAAGCGGATCCCGACAATTATGTCTGGATCCGCCCAGCTGCTTGACTGACAGCTGGCTCTGCCTATCTAGAGGCAGAGCCAGCTGTACCCTCCCCCTCCCCCATCCGTTCCGCCAGTATGTGTTCGCTCATTTCAAGATCCACTGAGCCGACCTGTGACAGTCTCGTTGTCACAGGCCGGCTAGAACTATGAGGTGAGTGAAATGCACTCACCTCATAGTTCTCCTTTAAAGTCAATGCTGTTTATTGACTGAGATAACACACATCTCCTTAGCTAAGGAGATGTGTGTTATCTCAGTCAATAAACAGAATTGACTTTAATATCATGGAGTGCGTGTGACTACTTTCATCTATCTACATTTCACAGAGGCATCAGTTGTCACCACCGCACCCACCCACCCAGTTGGATTTGGGTTTTTGTCCAGTCAGGAGTGCGATGGGACAGGAGGATTAAATACTCATTCATAGACCACCGAGATTCTAGGGGACACCAGAAGCTACAAAGTTGCAGCAGGGAAAAATTGTGTCACCCTTCCATCTCGAAAAGAAGTCATTTTGCTGCACCTATATATACTGTATATATCTATATATAGCTTTTCACCTATATGTATTAGAACTGTGTATTACGCTGATGGTCTGGAGTTTTTCCTTCAGAGTACCACATTGTTTAACTATTTTCCTAAAAGCGACCCAAGTCCTAATAAATGGAAAATCGACTTTATTCTTTCTTGAAAACAGGCGGACTATTGCGGTTTCTCAATCATTTTGACAGCTGGGAGGGCCGTTCCCAGCGAGCTGGAAATTGTACAAGGCGGCCGCTACTTGAGGGATTTACGTTTCCAACATACATGTAATGAAGAAGACAGAAAAAAAAAAAAATCGCAAAACTATTTTGCGGGATTTTGCCAAATACAACCGAGGCCGAAATACATGAACTGCAAGGAAGCAGGCGGACAATTCAGACCGAGCAGTCAAATGGCTGCTTGTGATATTTATGTAACTTTAAAATGTTTTGTCACAAAATGTAACAGGTTTGTTTTTTTCACCAGAATAATGATGTTTGACATACGCAGTTACAGTGTTAAAAAAAGTGAGGGGAGAATTAGAGAATAATGGCCACAAAAAATGGCGCAATACAGGAAAAGTAAAAAGAAAATGAAAGCTGAATTCCAGGTGGTTATAACCAAGTTAATAAAATCTCAAGTAATGTTTAAAGGGCATCTATCTAATGAGAGACGACCTTTTATTGAATGCTGTATCTTGGAGATTCTAAAAGGATATCATGTTGCAAGTAACTTAAAGTGACATTAAACACTCAGATTTTTTAACATAAACCAATACTGTAATGTGTGCCTTACTGTAATCCATGGTAGTTTCCCTTCTCTTTGCTGCTCTTCCTTTTAAATCCTCATGTCTTCTCATGCTGGGGGAGAACTTCCCTTTGCAGCTGAGTGCCTCTTCCTGTAGTGCTGGCTCAGGTTGTGAACCTACACACAGACACCATGTATCCATTCCAGAGACAAGGCAGTCTGCTGCAAAACAGAAGTTCTGCCCAGCATGAGAACAGATCCAGATTTAAAGGGAAGAGCAGCAAAGAAACTACCATGGATTACAGTAAGGCGCACATTACAGTATTGTTTTATGTTAAAAAATCTGAGGGTTTAATGTCACTTTCAAGGGTATCTATGGTCAAAAACTCCAAATAAATCTGTATTTCTATATTGAATTTCCATAAGTTCTACCTCCTGCGGGTGCTGTTCGTAGAACTCTTACGCGCATGCGCGTAAAGCACAGAAAAACGCGGCAAATGGCACACCGGAAGTGACGCGCAGGAAACCGTGCCAAATAGCGCACCGGAAGTGACGCACAGGAAACCGCGCAAATGGCGCACCGGAAGTGACGCACTCAGGATTACTTTCCTACTTAAACCCGGCCTGCAGACCTACAGATTTCTGGGTTGTCTTTAGCCCCTCCCCGTGTTTCTGTGTCCTGCGATTACCTGTCCCTGTGAACTGCCTGTCTCCTGGATTTTGACCCGAGACCTTGCCTTGACTACTCTCTTGATTGCTGCCGGCCACTGACCTTGGAGAAACCGAGATTGCATCATTCTAAGCAGCAAGGAATAAGATACAAAGCACACTGGGAATCCAGGAAGTTGTTGGAAGTGATGGCCAGACAGAAACTCACTACATAAAAGGGATTTTATCAATTAAGCTTTGATTGCATTATCAAAAACCATTCTAGTATGTAAGAAAAGTGATTTGGGTGTCTGTAAAGCCACTTGACCACTCCAATGTGATGCTATTGCCTCCCTTCCCATTGGCTGGACCCACCTGTAATTCCTGAGACATCCAATGAACCTTTCAGGATTAGAGAGTTTGAATGGAAGTTCCACAATTTCCTTTAACCTGGAAGCACTCTGTTCTGAGCACTTCCAGGTTCACAGTTGTCAGATCCGATTGGCTGTGGCTGGGCAAGAAGCAAATTGGGGACTTTCTGTCCACGATTTGCTTGGGCTGAGTTAGCCCCCATGTGATAGCAATAAAATAAAGCAAAAAAAAAAAAAATGTTTATACAAGTCTATGTCCTGTAGTGACATGAGGGTGAGAGTAAAGGAATCACGGTGCATGGTGGGAGACACAGGCATCCAACACTGCCAGATAGAAGCTGCAGCACTGGAACATAGGAGGTGTAGAGGTGAGTATAATACTTCTTCAATTGCAGGGGTCTTTAATTAGTTTTTTTGTAAGCGAGTGACAATGTCACTTTAATGCCATCGAACAATGGTTCTCAAACACCAGACCATGGACCGGTGCTGGGCCACGGCCTCCATCCTGTGGGCTACGGCTTCCTGTGTCCTCCAGCGTCTACAGCCAGGATAACGCCGAGCACAACGGCATGCAAGTGGCATTAGGGCCTGGTGTTTGTTTGTTGGGCGGTGCCAGTGTG